TGCTATCCCGCTGTTTAGGATTACTCATAATTTCGTTTATCTTCTCTTCTTTCTTTTCCTTAGGCATAACCTAAATTTTGTGTTATTTATATCCTGTAATTTATCTTCATACTGTCGTGTAACTTAAATAATACGGTTAACGTAAACTTAACTAATTATATAAGTGAATTAAAAATGTTTAGAGTAAATTTTTAGTATGTAAATTAAAGTTTTAAAGTTCAAGGTCACTTCAAGGTCATACTATTATACATAGCTAAATGTTGGTTATAACATACAAAAAAAAAATTAAGTGCATATACGTTAGAAAACATTGGGTGACCTTGAAAAAAAACCATTAAAAAATGACACTTCTAAACAATTTTTGCCGTCATCAAATTCGTCTCTTCAAACCATTTGAACTGTGTACACCCACGAGCAAACTCTGCTTCCACTAGGGGAAAAAGTGACGTAGGAGAAGGGCCTCCTGCCACTTGGTAAATTTATTTCAACTACTGAAATAAATATTAAAATGCATGTTAATTTGGCATAAATTTCAGAAACTTCCGAATTCAAAATTGTAGAAGGCCTTTTCCCTGCGCCACTTTTTCCCCTAGCGGAAGCCGAGTTTGCTCGTGAGGGTACGTAGAAAATATTTCTCGTATGATAACAGATAAAGAAGATACTTAGGTGGCCTGTTTTAAGCGGAACACCCTGTATACCGCGTGTGACGAATGCGCGCGATACGACACGGTTCGATCATCAGCGATGTGAAACATCAGAGGCGGCAGGATAAATCGTGGCGAACGCGGCAGATGATTAAGCCACACACACACACACATAGGACGTCTTCCCGTGAATGAAAATGTTTCGTGTCACGCGATCGGCTTTAAATCACGTACAAGTTATCCGGTTCCCGGGCGAGATAATTACAAATGGGTCGAGGCCTGTGTCTGTGTGAATTCGACTGAATTTCATTACGCTTGTTCAAACACACTGGCCACTACTGTTTCACGATTTTCGATTATTCCGTGTTGGATATTCGTTGGGTAAAACATCACTGGAAAACTACTGTCCCCACGAACAATCGCTTTTCAGGGACCTTTTTTTTTATCCCAGATTTGATACTGTGTGATAGACGGTGACACTAAATTCTGATGCATCCTATACCGGGTGAGTCACCTGAGAATGACTTCTAAAATTTTTGAGTTGGGAAGAAATGTTTGAAACGAAAGTTTCAACGGTTCTTGTTGCCCTCCGAGTGGGCCCTCGTATTTCTCTCGCGAAATCCATTAAGGGGCTATGCTAGTGTGACGGTTTCAGAAATTCGGAAATTTCTTTTTTGCAAATTGCAACAATTTTTTGATGAAGAGCAAGGTGTTTTATATGGCCCGGAATAGGTGATTAACTATAAGTATGAAACATTCAATAGTGTTCCTTAAAAAAATTCCCAAAAATTGCCTTATTATATAGCTGTCACACTAGTATAGCCCCTTAAAACCTCCGCGTGAAGGTTGGAAGCCAAAAAGAACAGTGCCTCCTCCGCACCATTTTCCACCCATAGAGTCGCCGAATAAATTCGTTGGCCGTGAAAATATTGCGTTTCGCCGTTGATTTTTGTTTGACAAACATTCTCCGAGCTATTGCGTCGCGAACGTTACTACGTCGTTCCTGATAATAAGTGACGTGCAGAGGAATATGCCGCGCGTGGATCTTCCATCGATCCCATCGTTCCGTGGAATAGCCCCCGTCAACACGTTGGAGAACTCGACAGAGAATAGGTAGCATCGACAGTTAATTAAATAGCCGTACTTTTAGAAATTATAAAGACAGACATTTTTCTACCACGCACAGCACTTCGCGCCATTGTCCTGCGCGACCATAGAACACAGAGCCCTGATCTATATCTTTCGCCGCCGCTGGGCAAAAATGTTTTTTACCGCCTTGTATATTTAATTATAAAACGGAGGAGGTGGGTACTTATTTTCAAGCGTATAACAAGTAGTTAGTAACAAGAGAGTAATCACGGATTCTCTTATCGTCGCTTGACCTTGGATAGTTTCATTATATTCGGCGTGATTCATTGTGGCCGATTGCTGTCAGGAAATTACGCAGTGTGTGAACGTATTTCTGCGTGTGTCACCAAAGCGTCGATAAAATTTTACGACGACGGAACTTGGGCAGAACGGGAGCTGAAAAAGGGGGTCGCGAGTGATAACCGTGTTGTGGAGCTTTCACGAAGACTGCTCCCTACCGTTATGACTACAGCACAGATGATACCTATCCGGAGAATGGAACGGCACACGTAAGGTAGCCGTGGAGGAAAGATCTAACGCGAGTTTAATGTTCCCGGGGGCAGCTTGCTCACAACTTCCGGTGCGGATCGAACCGTAGAGAGAAAGAGAGAGAGAGAGAGAGAGAGAGAGAAAGAAATCTGTAAAGGATGATTCACTGGGGCTCTACAGATGTGTGTGTGTGTGTGTACATAGATGCTTAGTGGACTGCATGCTTCACTAATTCACGTGTCGTTTAACCCTTTCCATGTTAATGTCGAGTATACGTATTGTCATGAAAAGATGGCATTTTTTTGTTTAACGACGAGTATACTGACAAAAACAATTTGCTATTTAAAGTAAAATTTAGGCGAAACAAAGAACGTATGTGTAATTTTAACAAATGATAGAATATTTTAGGACGAAATGAAAAAAAATCACTCGAAAAGGAAGAAGTAAATTCCAGTCAAAAGGAAGTAAGGGTGAGGGGGTGGTGTTTCGACGTGTGTTTCCTGTTAAGCTTCCCCGTCAACGAGATCGATCGGGGAATACCAGAGAAGAAGAAACAAAAAACGTGTTTTTCATCCAATTTTAGCCATCTCCGTTCCCTCGGATTCCAGGCGCGAAAGTGTTACGAATGCTTATCGTAAAAGACGAAAATAGAGTGTGTTCAAGGAGGGGAAGGGAGAGAGGGGGGGGGCAGATTTTCATGGTTCCGGTCTCCCTAAGGAAAGTACAGAGCGAATAATCGTGTCGGCGCAGAAAGACGGACCCCTCCCCCCTCCTGGGTCACGCGTGAATGCTAGCACGTGAGTAGTCGACTCGCGCGCCTCTGTGCTTCGTACTGGTTCAGATGAAGGGGCTGGGGGGGTTGAAATAGAACGCGTGTTTCAGGTCCCGTGTACGCTGCGAGACCACCAAGCCGACGCGTGGCGTCTCCAGCGTATAAATACACACGTGTGGCGTGCGCGCCAGGTTACCTTCCAGGCGCTCTTCCTACCCTAAGCGTTCCCAAAGACCCGAACGACTGGACTGACAGACAAAGAGGGATACAACACAACCCGGGAGAGGCGCCACGACGCCTAGACCGACGCCTGGCGTCACACGCAACGCACCACCGGGACCGACTGTGAAACGCTTTATCAAAAGCTTTACCTTACTTCGACGCCCGCTCTCGCTTTGTATATATATATATGACCTTCCTGGAAAAACGGGGGCGACATTACTCACGAATATTTTATCTCTATCCAACTTATCCTTCTTTTTCGCGAAACTATTACCAGGCGTATACTTACGTGTCCGATGTCTATAGCAACTCAATTTTCATGGAAACGGACATCGTATTCGCCTGGTGTGTGTGTTGTGGTTTCGTGGATTAATGTATTGTGGTACGGTCGATACTTCCTTTGGCCGTAAAAAGTAAGGGAGATTTTCCTGTTTGGTATAGTTACTGAAGTACATCCTAAGAATAGTTTAGAGTATAATCACCGAAGTACACCCCAAGAGTAGTTGATACTCGAGAGTATAGTCACTCTAAATAGAGTCTGACCATTGGGTATAGTCCTTGCAACACTATAGGAAGTATGGTGATTTTACAGTGGTCTACGTATTATGTGTTCTTTTCTAATCAGGCGATTTTGAATGCTCTAACCGGTTCACCACATGAAACTGCAATTTGCAACCGTTGTAGGAAAGATGGTATTCGAAAAACGCGTTGCATCGTTTCGTTACATGTGTTTGTTTTACGAAGATCCGCAAGCGAACCAGTAAAACGCAAAGTCCAGCCATTGCTGCCGTTCTTTTGTCGCGCCGTTATTACCGTTCTCCCATACGATTACACGAAACATACATTAAAAAACCTGTTCGCTCGCCAAGCTATCCGCCCCAGCTCGAAAAACAGACATCGATAAGGTCTATTCACATGACCAGCAGCGGAGCGATTCTTTATTCCACATACGATAACCGCAATTGTCGTGCGCGTAATTATCCTGCGGCATGACTCCCCGATATTTTCTCTCCTCGTTTGTCGCAAAACCACATTAAAAACTAATAAGCTCCCCACGTGTTACGCGGGGTGTATGTTTGAACGCTCTGCGTCATCGATCGAGTTTCGGTCGTTGTGTGTTTTCTTCGTGATATATGTATACTAATATACTGTGTGTAAGAAAAATGTTAGAGGACCCGAATATGGGAGATTCGTGAGGTGATTTGAAACAAGTTTTTCCTTAGCGAAAATGTTATCCGAGGCTTTGTTAACGAGATATTAAGGAAAAACCCCGACCAATCAGAGCGCGAGTCTGCCAGCCGAATTCCCGCGGTAACGTTGGCTACCAATCGCAGCGCGTAGTCAACGTTACCGCAGGAGCTCAACCGGCAAACTCGCGCTCTGATTGGTCGGGGTTTTTTGTTAATATCTCGTTAACAAAGCTTCGGAGAACTTTTTCGCTAAGGAAAAAGTTGTTTCAAATCACCCCTTTCAAGGAAGTACAACTATTCTGCGACACCCTGTACATTTGTATCATAAAAAGAAAACAAGGAAATATTGTTAATAAGTAGAACTGGTGTTCCGAATTTTGGTGTTTAGAATTGGTGTTCAAAACAGTATCTTGAAAGTGAAAGCATGCATGTGACACGCCGCGGCGTTTTTCCTAACAATTACAGACACATATGCCCCGGGCTTTAACGTTAAAAGCTGCGAGTATCCGATTGCGCACCGTTTACTTTACATGAAACGTGCTTGTCTCTTTCCAGCGGATTGAGCTTCCAAGATCTGATGGCCAGACAGGGTGCTATCGATTCCCCGCCGAAAACTCCTTTTATTATGGGATCCGAGTGCGCAGGTGACATTGAGCAGGTCGGCGAGGGCGTGGAGAACTTCAAAGTAAGTAAAAACACTGTGAAGGGGGGGGGTGGCCACCTTTTGGGAAACTAAACAAAAAAATAGATATTCCATCGCGACGAGATTTTATTTCCTTATTTATCGGGCAAGTTTTTCCCTTGCAAATTTTCTCGAATCCCCCCCCCCTCCAATTTTTTGTGGCCGCTTCATCACTATCAATAGATAACGGTCTGCCGGTTGCTCCCATTTACCCTTACCGACAACGTGAAATGCAATGTGCTTCCATATTACTTTTTGCGTTAACACTAAAAGAAAAAGAAATTACGTCGCGTATTTCGTTGGAGGTACAAGGTGTAAAAAAAGGTTTTGTCGTGGCTATCATGTGTGGATTCTACACCTTTAGACCGGTAGAGATCTGTTTAAAAAACACTTCCAGCAAAAATGACCTTTACCTCGAAATTCAAGGTCAAATTGTTTTCTTACTGTTTCGTATTCTACTCGTTACAGGGATGAAAAGTCTCGAAAGAACCGTATGTTCCTATCTACAACACTTTTGTTACACCCTTTATAACAAAAAGTGTTACGCAACAGCATGTTATATGATATTTTTCTGTTTGTTTTTCTAACAAGTGTTACAACTTCGTTAATATAACGTGTTATACTATATAGTGTAGACGCAGCTTAAGTGTATAATCGTCACATGCACATGGGGGGGGGGGGGTAATATTTTTCCCCTTCAAATGTGTTTAAATTCGAACGAGAAGATCGAGTGGAGACATTTATGTTGAACCAATTCTCTTCAGAGGGACGATTACGTCCAGTTTTCCATGATATTTACCGCAATCCACTCTACGCGATATTTTGTAATTGAACCTTTCGAGTGAACTTTAAAGGGGGTTGCTTGTAATTAAAAACACTCAATTCCCATTACGTCTCGGGGGATCGTTCATAACGAGTGCCTGCTTTTAAATTCCTCATTAATAATTCTCTCGAGTCACTTTTACTGGTGAGTCTCTATGAAGTGCCCCGATCCGTTGGTTAAAGTGGGGAGGGGTGTGGGGGCGTCGCCTGTTACACATACACAAAAAGCACAAATCGTGTGGTCGATCCATTTAGCGCGCGGATTCTGTTAATGGTATTAAATATAGCGAAGTGCCCCGAATTTTGCAGTTTGACGTCATCGAACGGGGATCGATGAATTCCCCCCCTCCATTGAATACACGCACTCGCAGCCGCGGGCGGTGAACTAAAAAAAGCCACTAGGAAGATAAAAAAAAAGGGGGAAATTTGTTAAATCTTCTCACGTTTATGTACACACGATGTTGAAAGAACTAAACCACGAGGCAGCTTACGTTCGCATACGCAATAACGTTTCTTGTTTGGCCCCTATCGGTGCGAGTTTAAAAATATTTCATTCTCCTGGAGTCCTATGGCCGGGTCACCGACGAAGTGAATTTATTTTCTCTTAATTTCAAATTCTACGAGCACGATATGCTATTCCTCTGTGCAAGTTCCATAGGAAGTCAATACAGTCCATCTTGAAATTCGTAAAAATAAAATAAGGAATAAAATTTGCAAAAAAAGAAAACAATCCATGCTTGGTGTATATTTTTATGGTGGTGACTATCGTTGTACATGTCTGGGCGTTTTGTGAAATTTGGTTTATGGGCCACGATAGACCCTCAGCCATTGACTTCGATGATCCCATTGCACTCCGATGGCTAGGACCTTGAACTTGAGGATACAACTCGTCGAAGCTGATCTCACAAGGGAACACTATTCGTAAATTTTTTTCCATTTAAGTATTTTGAAATAGTTTAAAATATTAATCATTCAAATTGAATTGGTAAAATTGATAAAACGCCACATGGAGCCCCAGCTAGATACAATACCATACGCGGAAGCTACCTTAAGGCCGCTTTTCCTCATTGGTCGCGCGTGTTGTTCTCGACCCTGGAAAATATTAGACATCATAGTCGTTGTCGTCGTCCTGCACGGTGGCGACCGTGGAAAAAATCGATGGGAATGGGGCTGACTCGAGGCAATAACTATCGACGAGGAGAGAGAAAGAGAGAAGACGCGCGCGCGCGCGGCGTTTTTCATGGGGAACGGAGCCACACCAACCCCGTCTCGCCCACGATTTGCATCCATTATCATGTCAAACGTCTTCTCCTCGCGTCCTCTCGTCCTTCCCCACCGTCGTTGTTCCTTCCTGGCGTTGTGTCTAGACTAGGATGCTTCGTCTGAAAATTTTTCCGTGTAAACGGAGCGTAACCTTCAAGGGGCGAGAAATTGCTTACACCCCTCTCACGAGAATACGTTTTTCTTTTTTATTGCGAAGATCGACACCTCTGAATATTAACAGAAACACACACAAGTTCTCTGTTATTGCAGCAGCTCCTCTTCTTACTGGAGATTTCTACTCTTTCGGTGTGTTCTCCATTATTTAACCCTATTGATATGCGGCCGTATCTTGAGGCCGTAAAACGTTTATTCCAAAGGACACGACCGACCGAACGAACGAACTTCGAAGGTTTAGATATTAAATTATAATCTCTGAATAAGAAAACAAACCATGAAGTAGGAATGTAATCGCAATAAAATTTAATGTAGGTACACGGTTACTGTTACTTCTGGGAGCGACTCTAGTTGCACCATAGCAGACATGGGGCAAATTGGTGAACTGGATGAAAGATTCCGAAGAACGAATGAAAGATAAAAAAAAAGTATTTCGTCATTTTTAATTGTTTAAACGTGGAAATTTCCATTTTTATGATGGAAAAATATTATAACGTCTAAAAATCCATGTGTCTGAATTAATGTGTATTCTTAGAATTTACCCTATTCCGCCCCGATCATCATTTCGAACTATCAACTTTAGCTTCTTGCTGGAAAAAAAAAATTGAAACAACTCTCTTCACTCCCCGTTCAGTCGGAAAAACCAGAAACGCACAAGGTCTCTCGAGTACATTGTAGTGTCCAACAAAGGGCGGATTTCCTTCCGTTGGGTCCACGAACGGTTCTTTCTTCATCCCTTGAAAGGGGACGCTCATCCAAGTTCCTCCTAGAACCACCCCCAACGTCGGGAAGGGAAGGGGAGGGTGGGCAGTTCCATAAAAGAAGAAATAAACGGACCAACTAGAGGGAACTGAACGGTCACTTTCTGCGTGTACACGCGCGCAACAGCTTTGAAGGGGGTATTTTATTGTAGCCGGTTAACAAAATCGATTTCCTTTTCCTTGTACTTTCTTGTAGCTCGGGGTCTCCTGAAAATATGTTTCTGAAGTATTATGGTTAAATTCATAAAATTGTTAAACTTGTAGAAGGATTAAACGCATTTTTCTCAAAACCGTTTTTATTAACACATTCAATGCTGGTAGTTCTAGTGTTAAGGAACCTCAAGGAAGTCGATGGGGCGAAAGAAAGGAGTGGGGGTCGCGCAGGGTGCGTCCACCGCGTGCGATAAAGGGAAGGAAACGCGAATATTCGATCTAGGAAGGGCTCTGCCCTCCCCCCCCCTCACGGTCGTTTACACGTGCTCCGTTCGGATATCTGACCTCAAAGCCTTAGTTCGAGGTGATTCGCGAGTCACGAAAATAGACCACCAGCTCGAGGCTACAGTAATCTAATGGCGGGGTGTAGGGATGTTCGCGATTCCGATTCGATTCTCTTGGGTAAGACATGTCACTGTCATGTACAACACATACAACACGAAGTGATTTAGTACATGTACCGATTCCATAATTTTTATTTTCTTGTAACAGAATAACGAGCTACTGTTCCATCAATCAAGAACTCTGTTCTCCATACTTTTAGCCCTGTTAGTCTATGTGTTGTACAGTTTGTTCCACAAGAAAGTGTACAGCAGTATTTCAATAATACCTAACCTAAAAAAAGAACTTCTGTACTTTAAAGTAAACTTAAAAACGTATTGTACATACATGGCAGCCACGTGTTACTCAAGAGAGTCAACATTCTGAAGAATCGAATCGGAATCGCGAACATCCGACAAGTGGAGGGGGAGGTAAAAACCAAGTGGTTCCCCCTTGTTTCCTAGTAAAAAAGGTACCGCGCGGGACTACAGATCCCCCATCCCTTCTGGGAAGATTAATGCGTGAAAAATTCAAGGATAGACTAAACGCAGAATGAACAATTCTGAACTGATCTCTCCTCCGTTGGAACTTCTCCTCGTATTCCGTGATGCAGGGAATGAGGATGGGGTCCCAGCCCCTTCATGATATTATCCTAGAAGATTGTTGAATGTATTCCCTCTCCCCTCAACGATTTGCATATCGGGTGGATGATCGTCGAGTTTATAGGGCGCACGTGAATTGATGGTATACAATCAACCGGGGACGATAGTCGTGACGTGTGGTGAACTCTGAACGAAAGCTCTTTTCGCGGGGGTTTGGTCCAAACTAAGATCTTTGGAACCCAGAATCGTTGTCGTCGGCAGTTCCATGATTTTCGGTAACAATAGGACTATTCTCATTATTTCTTCCAAATTTTTAAATAATGCTCCGCTATTATAACATCGTATTTTTTTTAAACAATTTCAAAATAAATGGTTAAAACATATTTTTTTTAACTGAAATAATTTTTATCTGGTACTCTTATGTCTCCACTATAAGCATCCACAAAACTCATTTTGATCAGTTTGTTACTTCGACAATTATGATTAGTTGAACTGAAATGTTAACTCCAAAAAGTGTCCGTTTTCGCGTGAAATGATCCTATAGCAATTTAACACTGAGGGACAGTTTGAGTTGGGAAAATGAGGGTTAGGTCTCTTTCTATAATAACAATACTGTATCAGGTGTTACCAGCCTCATTCCTATTATCTGACATCAGGCCCATTGTCAGCAAGCCACTAAGTGGCGTCGTGGATCACTATTAAAATAGTCCTTCCTAAACAGCCACGACATAGAATTATAACGCACACTAACCATTTGGCTACTTATTTTCAGGTGGGCGATCGAGTGGTCGCGTTTCCTGATCACAAAGCGTGGGCGGAGCTCGTTGTCGTCCCGGCGACGTCCGTTTTCCCGCTGCCGCCTGGTATGAGCTACCTCGATGCATCCGCGATCACCATGAACTACACCGTCGCGTACATTCTGCTCTTCAAGCTGGCCAATCTGACGCCCGGCAAGAGCCTTTTGCTTCACAGCGCCGGCGGTGGTGTGGTAAGTTCCATCTCATCATCACGTGCAAAGCAATAGATCGTCATAATTATCGAGAGACAACAGATGCAAGAATCGTACAATGTTGTAAATTCTAAACGATCGAGAATCATGTAACCATTTTAGTACCTTGGAGCCGATACATCGGTTTTGTGGGTTTTCCAAAAAAATACCTTGAGTCGATATGTCGGCTTTCCATTTTGAATATAATTTAAACACATCTAACGACTACAAGACCTATATTTTTGAATATTTGTTTTTAGTATCCCTAACGTATTTCACGTCTACTTTTTGATATATCTTCAATTTCTTAAAGAACCAATTATTTCAGAAATCAAAATAATTTTATTCTAAGGGATACAAACGCGAAGAATAAAGTTAGGAGAACAGTGCAGGATGTTAAGTTTTCCTTTGATTCTGCTTGTTACTCTGAAATAATTTAGCTACGAGTTTACATTTACTACCTTATGCCCCTTTCCATGAAAGTAAGAGAATTACTTTCGTGAATTTTCAACGAACCACAATGAATTCGGTCTGTTTCGTGGCTCTTGCTACTATGAAAGTGTATACTAGTTTCTTCATCAAAGAACCGTATCTTTATGAGCAAACGCGACTCCCACTAGGGGAAAAAGTGACTTAGGGGTAGGACCTCCTACAACTTGATAAATTTATTCCAAGAACTGAAATAAATGTTCAAACGAATGTTACTTTGACATACATTTCAATAATTCTCGAAACTAAATGGCAGGAGGTCCTTCCCCCCTATGTTATTTTTTCCCCTAGCGGAAGCCGAGTTTTCTCGTAAGTGTACCCTCGCGAGCAAGTTCGGTTTCCACTAGAGGAAAAAGTGATGTAAGGGAAAAACCTTCTACCACTTGGTCTCGGAAGTTATTGAAAATTATGCGAAATTATCATTCGGTTTAACATTTATTTCAGTATTTGAAATAAATTTATCAAGCAGTAGGAAGCCTTAACTCCTACATTGCTTTTTTCCCCTAGCGGGAGCTGAGTTTGTTCGTAAGTGTACATATGAAATAGAACAAATACAAGATGAGAACAAATGCTTTTATGCGGGTAGCGTGTATAACCGTGTGTGTACCATTTCCATGTAACATAACCTAATCTCGGTCTCTAGTCTGCCGGTAATTCAGTAAACCTCGAGAATTACCCGAAATCGTTCTCTAATTCGCTAACGGAGGCACAAGAATACGTCTGTAACTTCGTTATTTACCATTTCCACCGTACCGCCGCCTCCGTCCCCATACATTTTCCAGAGGAAGTCAACCTGCGTGTATTTCCACATTACCCTCTAGCCCGGCTTCCGGGCAGCTCTCTTAATCCATATCCCGGGGAGAAAAGCGGACCGGGCGAGATTTTCTCATTAACGCGTGTTACCGTATCTCCACCGAAAATTGTATGTGTTTATGTTCATATTTACCGAAATAAATAAATAAATACTGATGCGTCGTGAGAGGAAAAGAAAGCTGTGTACTAGTGATGGCGATAGGTTTGAACTGTATCGATATATTCTATCGATACGTATTGCTACTCAAAGTATCGATACACATATGCACATCGGGAACAAAATATCGATATTATCGGTCACGATACTTGCAATGAAAAATTAGAATTAATAAAGTCCAAGAATGAGAATAAATCATTTATTCAAGTAGATAATTACTAAAAGGCAGATTCTCAGGTAACAGCGTGGAAAAGAAATCGACCGATCGCAAACTTTACGGGAAGCTCACGGATTGGTCCATTTTCCTTACGGAATCCTGTCACGGCAAATACAGCGATTCTATCGAAATTTCGGATATTTACGGCTCAAGTATCGATACTGGAATATATTGTCACATTAAATATCGATATCTGACTTGTGGAAAAGTATGAATATTCGAAATATCGATATACTCTATCGCAAATCACTACCGTGTATGTACTGGTTCGCCCGGTACGGTAAACAACCGGGTTGAATAGCAGCAGCTCAAGTAGTGTCTGGCCCGGAAGCTGGAAACATGGGCGAAATCGAATTAAGCCGCCGTTGTCCGTGTGAACGGAGCTTAAGGGCAGCAGCGGTACACGTGATCTGTGTAGTGCGCGGCGGTAGTGGTGGGGCGTGCGGTCTCAGACGGGCGCGGCCCGGTTGACGGTGGTCGATGAGAGAACGAAGGGTTGCCAGGGCAACCCTCACACCACGCACACACACACCCCCGTCGTTCTCTATTCCCTCTCTCTCCTGTACCACCAGCAGCATCCAGTCTCTCCCCTCCCCAGTAGATTTTCGTCGTCTCAACTTCCAGCAACGGTACAGAGGGCTGCGGGGGCGAATGTAGTTAGCTTCGAGTGTAACCTGTTGAGTCGTATTGATCCCGACGCGCGGTATTCCCCCGCCCTCCCCTTCCTCAGTCTTCTCCTTCGACGACATTGAGTGAAAGAGAGGGATAGAGGGAGAGACAACCGCCTCCGTTCTTCGTTCAGCGGCGCGCGATGACTGCAGGGTAACTTGTTCGCGCGCGCGCGGGGGGGGGGCAGTAACCTTGTACGTCTCTTTGCATACGTATAACTGTTCTCGAGCGCGTCAGCCACGAGTAGTTTTCCGACTGGATAGATATGGGGGAGGACTGTCGTTTTTTTACAATACTAATGCTTGTAATGGAATCTAATTCGTTGACCCTTTAACGCCTAGACCTTTAACCCTAGAACGATAACCTTCTATTTTTTGGCGTCAGTAACACCGTGGGATCGCGGCGATCCGAATTCAAATCTTAATATTTGAAATACTATTTAATATTTTCGAACTGTTCTTTTTTAGTTCCTTTTTAAACACTTTAGGAAATAATAACTGCACAGTGTGATTTCTGTTTAAAGAAATAAAGGAAAGGTAAAGAAAAGCTGAATGTTCTAATTTTCACGTCTGTAAGCAAGGATTCCAACTTTGCGGGGTCGCCGGTAACTCCAGGGTGGCGTTCCAGGGTTAAATCCTTATTTTAAAATTATGGAAAATTATCTGCATATACCGTAAAAAAACATGGGTAACCTGGAAGAATGCATTAAAAAAAAACGCGATCCGATTTGTCTCTTGAAACTACTTAAATTACGTGAAAAATATGTCCTGTATGATCACAGAAAAGATATTCAGGTGGCCCGTTTTAAGCGGAACACCCTTTATACACAAAAATACAAGAAAATATCTCTGGTCATTTTTAAATAATTTAGGAACGAAAGGGTCGAAGATTTAACCAGCCTGTATACAACTGGAAATCGACCGAAAAATAAGCACACCTATACCAGCAACGAAATCTTAAACGCCAGAGCAAGCAGTCGCTTATTTAAACGCGCCAGCCCCCCTCCCTCCCTCCCCCACTTTCCACCTATTGCCCCTCCTGCCCCCTTCGCGAAACGCTTCGTTGCACCTCGGCATGGACTAGACAGAAGACAATCCGTTCCCGGGGAACAATATCAGCGTCGTCTCGGGGTAAAACCTCTACGGTCACGCGCATGAAAACCGCACTTTTCTCCGCTGCTGTCACGGTATATATCATCTGGGCAGGACATACACGGGCCTCTTTCC